AGAATTCTCCAGCCAGCAGAGCTGGCTGGAGAATTCTGGGAGTTGAAGTCCACCAGTCTTAAAGGGCCCAAGTTTGGGGAGCCCTGCCCTAGGGTGAAGCTCTTTGGCAGCGGGGCCTGCAGCATACCTCTCCCTGCCAGACCTGAGGGACTAGCAGAGGCACCTCCAGCCTTACGTGGAGCCCACTGCCTGGGAGGAGCCAAGCGTTGCTCGTAGCCGATCCCCTTCTCTTTCTCCCCCTGCAGAGAAGCTTCAGATGAAGTTGGGCGAATTCCTGCCCCGCCTGCTGGATTGTTCCCCGGAAGGAGTGGTCCTCAAGGAGCCCCCCAAGATCCGCCCCAACTCGCCCTACGACCTCTGCAGCCGGTTCGCAGCCGTGATGGAGTCCATTCACAGGGCCTCGGCGGTGGCCGTGAAATAAAGCGCGGCCAGGCCTCGCGGCTCAAGCCCCGCAGGCCTCCTGAGCCGTCCTCCCCCCCCACCCGCCGTCCCCAGGAGTGGGACCCTCTTGCCAGAGGACTCTGTGTACCCAGGATCCTGGAGGGGAGAGGGGACTGCGCTGGAGGACTCCACCTTCCGCCCGAACAGCGATGCTGGGCATGTCTAGGAAAGAGGCGGTCGGTGTGGGGCTTCTCGGACGGGCCCTAGTTGCAGGCAGGCACGAATTTTGGAGCACCCACCGAAGTCTCCCTCCCCCGCTGTTAATGACTGACTTTAGTTCCTGCAAGGAGCTTGCCGGGAGTGTTTTTAGGAGAAATCTGCCCTTTTACACTTAAGCCTTGTACATAGACGATTCCATTTTTTGCCAAGTTGGCGCTTTACCTAGCCAAGGGCTTTAAAGCGCTTCTCGAGAGCATTCGGCGTGGACCCCCGTTAATTTTCCTCAAGGCAGCCCCTGCCACACAGGCTGATCTCCATTCGGCACCGCTGGTCTCCCTGAGTGGGACAATGAATAGTGACAAGGACGGCATGGAAGATGCCGGCAAGGGGCCCTTGATCCTTGCTGACCTCCAAGCACAGCAAGTTCGGGCATAAGTCATCGACAAGTAACACGTAGGGTATCTCTGGGTGAAGGAGCCTTAATGGTAAACAAGGTTTACTCGCAGCGAGACAATACACGTGTTAGCAGTCCCTTGGCTCTCCACGATAGCCATTCTTATGGGGGGTCCACTTGATATGCAGCTGTTGCCCTGGCTGCTGGTTTAAGCACTGGCATTTATGCCAGGGGGGTGGGGGGAGGAAGAGGAGGAGGACAGAACTGCGCAACCAGCAGAAGGCCGAGATTGGAAGCCACTTCTTGAACCTTCCCCGGAATAATTCCTTCAATGTCAATCACCGAAGTTTAATTACCAGAGTAGTTTATGCACTGAAGTCAGGACAAAACCAGGCTGAATAAGTCACACTTTTAATGGTTATATTTTTTTTCCTCAAGATCTTTTAAATGTTTTTATTAGAATGCTAACCAATTGTGATGGGAAATACAAATCTGGTGAGATTTCTGGTTTCAAAGTGCAATAAATGTTACCCTATTTAAAGATATTTGTGGTTTTGTTTCTATCCCTGAAAACTACACACAACTTCTCCTAATTTTCAGCAGTAATTTTGAAGCCTCAAGGCAATGCTGCCCCGTGGCAGTTATTTCACACACACAAAAACCGACAACCCCTTTGATTTCCTTAAATTTGAGGTAAATAGATAGATTGCTCCACCCCCTCTGGTTGTGATCCCCAAAGAGGTTGGCAGGCTGCCAGCGCTTGTGTCCTTCGATTGCAGAAGGCCGACTCTAGAACTGTTTTGAAGTTTGGAAACTCTTCCTACGTAACCTTTCTATCAAAAACGGTTGGCACAACAATCCAGCTGTTGTGCCCCTTGTTGATGAGAGTTGCCTTAAGACAGCATCAAAGGCTAAGACTATTTAAGAGGAGAGTTCGCTGAACAAAAACAAGGCTGGCTCCTGAATTCATCCACGGAAACTCACCTCATGCCTTGGTTTGTGCACTGCGCTTCCGAAAATATTATCCAAGTATCGCAAAGTCTCTGCTCGAGATTGTTGATCTGGCTCTTACGCCCAGAAAGAGAGTTCCAATTTCTTGTAAGCGCTTAATTGCTTTTTAAAGCCTAACAATGCTTGTTGAATGGATTTTTATTTTGCAGACATTCTATCCTCCTGGACCAACATTCCTTCCATCCTTAAACCAGGCCGTTTTTGCGTCACTCTTCTCCAGAAAAGATTAAAGGTGGGGACAGGGAGGAGGAGGAAAAGCATTGTCTTCTGCGGAAGAGTAAACATAGGCTCGAGTACCCTCGAACAGCACATAAACTCAATAATATATTTCTAATTTGCACCTAAGGAGGATAAGGTACACAACAACCAGGACGCTTCCCCAAGCCGTCCTTCGCAGAAATCTAAGCCCCCAACTCTTAAATGTTCCACGTGTCGAACCGTCGTCCCATTCCAGGTGAGATCAAGGTGCTCAGGAAGGTGCATCAGATGACAAGGTCTGCGTTTTTAGGGGGTGGCTGGGGACGCTGGGTGGCAAGCGTGTCTACCTCCGCTTTGTGGCAGATTGCCGGCCTCTTGGATCCCTTCGGGGTCTTTAGGAAACAGGCAGCAGCGATTACCAGGCAGCCGCCCAACAGGAGGAAAAAGGCAGCAAACCAGCCCAGGAAAAGGGCTTCACCGAATTCCCACCTCGGGACAACGTCTGGTATGGTTTGGTCCCAAAAATCCTGCACCGTGTTGTAGGCAACCCAGGAGACGGGGACCAGAGTTGTCAGTCCAGAAAGGCAGAAGAGGATGCCGCCCATAATCCCCAAGGACCTCCTCTGTCTTGGGTCGCTCGTCTTCAGGAAGTCCGATCCCAGAAGAGCCAAGGAGAAAGCCAGGAAGCCCAGTCCGTTGGAAGTCACCATCAGAACCCTGGAGATCTTGATCTCCAACGGCAGGGCCAGGAGGGAAGCGTAGTTTTCACACTGCATGACCATTTGGCTGACACAGGTCTGCCAAAGCCCCATGTTCCAGATTTCAAGGTCATTCAACTCCAAATTGAGGCTCTTCCAGAGAGGCACGTAAGTCGTAACGCAGGACAAGACCCAACCGAAGAGGGAGACCAGCAGCCCACTCAGCTGAACGGCCGTGCTCTGGTGCCAGTTCATCCCTGGATGGTTTGGATGGCCTCTTCTTACGATGACCTTCGAGCTTTTGGTCCAAAGCTTGGATGGAAATGTTCCTGCAGCATTTTATGCTGTCGAGAACCTGCTATAATTGGCTGTAAGGACAGAATAGATCTGATGTGGTGCCAATTCTTTTCTTTCTTAAGAATGGCATAGGTGGAGAAACTGATTCTGATAGCATTAATTCTTGGGTGTGGCCACCAAGTCTTTTTTCATACCTGGTTGGCTTTATTTCTTTCTTTAAAACACACACACATACACACACGCACACGTACACAACTCTTTCCGGGTTGTTGTTTTTTTTTAAAAAAAACCTTCCAAGTCCAGAAAGCAGAAATCTCACCGTTTGCTGAACCCCAGACACTCACCTTGCAATCTCCTTCTCACGTGTTGCATTCAGCAAGTTACGCAAACAAAGCCACGCGTAGATGATACCGAAGGACTACAATCCTGCTTCTCACTTCCTGGATGGTGTAACAAATAATGAGTTTCATTGGTTATGAGCTACGTCCTCTCGGTTCCCGAACGTTCATCAACCGGCACTTCCAAAGCTGGTTGATAAAAGGAATGAAAGCTGGTTCACGTTGCAAAAACAAAGTGGATTTCATGCAAGTTGAAGTGCTTCCCCGTGTCATCCTCCATAAGCTGATAGAAAAGGGTTTGCCTTGTTATTGCAGGGTTACCGTCTCTTTCCTACTCATCTTCCTTCCGATAGCAAATAAGTTGCTGCTGCTGCTGCTAATAGTTTCCCTCTTCTAGGAGTTTGATGGTTACATTGGAAGGACATTGGTGCTTGCTCTGCCTGTTCAAGGCCAACATCAATTAGAAATGAAAGTAAGTGGAAGAGAAAACCTCACCTTCAAGTTTAAAAAGGAAAAAAGAATTCCGACGAGCTTTTCTGGAAAATCCAACCGCCGTTATCTTCTCTTAGACCCCAAATAAAACCTGCACCATCCAAAGCTGACACCTCTTGACAGACGATTCAGGGAGAAATCCCATGCTTTCCTGGCAGGGCCAAACTCTTTTCCCACTTATTAGAAATGATAAGATTGGAATTGATTGGTGATGCCAAGACGTTACCTTGGCTGTGTCGCCGGAAGGGATAGTTAGCACCTGTGGGATTTCTGGCTGCTTCTATGGAAGCAAAGGGCTCTCCACTCCAATTTATAATGTAAGCTGAGTGCTTATTTGAGCTTTTGAGCAAGGAGCTAGTCCCTGTTTCTCTCTCTCTCTCTCTGGGTGTGCCTGTCCCAGTCTTTCCATACTCAACAAGGGTAATTATACTTCGGTAACTATTAGGATCCACTCAGCAGGAGAACAAACAAACCTTCCATTATCCTCTTAACCAAACCAGTTTACACCTCCTTGTGAATCTTGAAGGTGTCGAGACCAAATCCCACAATTTTTTTTTCTTCCCTCCCAAGAAAAAATGTAGGCGTTCAGGACGGCAGTTTCCTTACAACTGTTTCTCAAACCAGGGAGAAAAATTTTCCAGATCAAAGGACCAATTTAGTTTAGTTTACTTTATTGTCATTGCACCTCTCATACAACGAAATCAAAGACCTTCTTCAGTGCACATCATGACCATGACTGTGAAAATAAACACAAACACACATCCTTCACATTCTATACATTGAGTTGAAAGCCCCTGATATCATATTAATATTGCCCTACACAGTAGAATTCAATAGAGTTGCTGCCCTGGGATAGAAGCTGTTTTTCAGCCTATTTGTCCTTGTTTTTATTATTATTCTGTACCATCTGCCAGATGGTAATAGTTTTTAAAAAAGGGGGTGGTTCCCAGGATGGGATGGATCTTTGAGGATGTTTTGAGCTTTCTTAAGGCAGTGGGAGCTATGAAGCTCTTCCAAAGAGGGGAGAGGGCAACCCAGGATCCTCTGGGCAATGATGGTCACCCTCTGGAGCGCTTTCTTATCTGCCACTGTGCAACTGGCAAACCATACGCAGGTGCAGTAAGTTAAGATACTCTCTACGGTGCAGTGATAGGAACAAAGGATGTACAGATAATCTCCATATTCATGAGTTTATTTAGTGACCGTTCAAAGTTACGACGTCACTGAAAAAGGTCACAGGGAGGTTGCAGCATTCTCATGGGTCTTGGGACCAGATTTCAGATGCTTGGCAGCCGATTCATATTTATGATGGTCGTGATTTCCCCGGACCATGTGAAATTCTGAGAAGCAAAGTCAATGTAAGGAAGCCAGATTCGCTTAATGGCCGTGTTACTAAGTTAAGGGTAGCAACTCAGCGACTGGCAAGAAAGATTGCAAGATGGGGCAAAATTAACTTCAACATTTCGCTTAGTAACAGAAGTCTTGGGCTCAACTGTTTTTGTAAGTCAAGGACTTCCTGTAGAGCATAATCTGCATATGTCTTTCCTCGTTACTTCTTTTTTTTCTTTTTCTTCTTTTCATGCCATGGTTTCTTCTTTCAATGTGTTAAAACAAAGCAAGACCCAACTCCTACCCAGCTCCTAACTAACCTACTGGTTAGTCGCTTGAAAACCACCATAAAAACAGCAGCAGGACAACTGGGGTTACTTCAACAGTTCTGAGTCTCAGCCAGACCCCAGGCTGGGAAATGCAATGCTAACCTGGGCAGGTGAGGCCAGCACACCTCACGGGCTCACCTGAGCTGGAAGCGGCTCAGACACGAGTGCAGAAACCGGAATGCTATAAAAGTTCACAGAGCCAAAGGGAGAGGCTGGCATCTTTCACCATGTATTGTGACAATGCAAAAAGAAAAATATATTTCAGGTCAACTCGACCAGTTTGCCCCAAAACTCAGGTCCAAAATTCAGGAGTGGCGGAACATGTGAATGATGAAACCTTACAGGGCAAAAGATGACTTGTGCAAAGAAGAAAACCCAGCCTGGTTCAGTAGCACTAGATCTTGAGGGATAAACAGAACAGACAGCTTGAATCATCCTCGAGGGCAGAGCCATATATAAATCAAGCAGAATTGACTTAAACACTTGAATCCCATCGACTTCACTGGATCCACTCCAAGAAAAGCTGAGAGTGGATCAAATCCATTCATCCCAGTTGGTCTGAGAGTTCCTGGATCAAAAAATACTGCCTCTAATGGTGGCCTGACAGGAAAACACAACCCTCCAACCATCTGTGCTTCCAAGTATCAGCCATGAACTCTTGGTGAAGCAAAACTCAACTTAATGATCCAACCTGGAGCTCTGTCTCTATTGACCATGTTAAAATGCCTGAACTTCAACTCCCAGCAACCATGGTCGTACCTGGATGCTGGCTTGGGGAATCTGGCCAGGTTGCCTTTTAACCCACCTCACTTAAAAAAGCCTGCGAGAAGTTGTGAAACAGTCCTGGGTGAG